GCAGAAAGGATAATTGTGATGTGGAGCTGAACCAAGAGAAAAAGGCAGAGGTCTGGTGGTGCTGAGTGTTGACGGCCACGTGGTCAGTGTGGGTGCTTTTGAGTGCCGGCCTTGGTGCAGAGTGTGTTATGTGGGACCCAAACCCAGATATCATTTGGACCTGGATTCAGATGACGTCCAGGCGTGTTGGATCTGATCTGGGAAAGAAGGGAGATGCCCCAAAGAGCATTTATTTTCTTTCTATTTTTTCTTCTTATAAATTATACTTCTTTTCCCCTCGTCGGATTTGGTTAGGAATTTTTGTAATGGCCCTCGGCCCACTGTTGTCTTATTGCAATGCTGCACAGCTTCCCCCTGCTTGCTTTTAAAAATTCGAAAGGGAAAATGTGATTCATCCTGACATATCATCCATGCAAGGGTATCCGGACCCTGACATTGGGACTGTGCGCATGGCTGTCTGGGCGTAGGGATCAAACCACAGCGACTCTTAAGTGTGTCGGTTGGCAGCCCCCTGATGTGGAGGGTTGTCTCTGCCACATATTGTGTCAGGTTGCTGCAGGAGGGGAGGGGCAGAAAGGATGATTGTGATGTGGAGCTGAACCGAGAGAAAAAGGCAGAGGTCCGGTGATGCTGAGTGTTGATGGCCACGTGGTCAGTGTAGGGTGCTTTTGAGTGCCAGTCTTGTGCAGTGTGTGTGTTATGTGGGACCCTAACCCAGATATATCATTTGGACCTGGGTTCGGATGACATCCAGGCGTGTGTGTTGGATCTGATCTGGGAAAGGAAGGGAGTTTCCCCAAAGAGCATTTATTTTCTTTGAATTCTTTTCGTTTTTCTTTTTATAACTTATTTTCCCCCCATCGGATTTGGTTAGGAATTTTGTAATGGCCCTCAGCCCAGAGTTATAGCTATTGCAGTGCTGCATAGGAGCCTGCCCATCCTGACAGACCATCCATGCAATGGTATCCAGACCCTGGCATTGGGACTCTGCGCATGGCTGTCTATCAAACCACAGTGACTCTTAAGTGTGTCGGTTGGCAGCCCGCTGATGTGGAGGGTTGTCCCTGCCAAATAATATGTCAGGTTACTGCAGGACGGGTGGTGATGTGGTAGGGCTATGAACTTCGTGTCCCTGATTCTTCACAGGTCTGTGGGGGGTTTTGAATGTCAGATAGCCTATGTTCAGTGTGTTCGATTCTGGTCTTGCGGTGGCACGTGGTATGTGGTCAGGTGACCTCGTTATGAATGTTGTGCACCTGATTCTTCTCAGACCTGCAGTCTGGTTGGAGTCGTCATCATGGTGATCACAGTAAGTGAAGTCGGTGTCTTTTTTCCTGTGTTAGTCCCCAGGCGGCCCGGCTGGGGGAAGGTTGCCCGGGTAACCTCCCGGGCGGCCCGGACTGGGCAGGGCCCAGGCAGGGTCTCCCGTCCAGCGCATAATATTTTTAAAAAATAGAAAACAAAAAAAAAAGATCCGAAAAAAAAATATATATGTTGTGTAAAATAATAAAATTGCAATACAAACGACTTTTGGCTGAGGTCCACCTCGATATTCCTTGTTAATATTTCAAGATGAAAATAAATGAGAAAACTTTTAAGCCCTTTAGTCACTGTTTATACCCCCCAACCCCCCCTTGCGAGGATCAGGGTCCTCGGTAGGCCTATGCGGCCCTGTTTGCAGCCTTACCCGCCCTAAGTGAAGGCGGGCCTGGCTTTTTGCAAGAGGCCCTCGACTGTCAATTTCATATTTGGGGTCCAGGCAGTTGCGACACGCCAGTTGGTTGAAAGAAACACGGGCCGAGCAACAAAGACATTTCCACGGCCTACCGGGCCTTTCCAAAGAATGCAGGCCCTGGGCGTGATTCGCAGCCTCATACAGAGAGAGTTGGGCGCCCAACCGAACGAGGCCCAGCAGCCCAGTAGCTGCTGCATCCAGGCAGCTTCCTGGGGCCTTCCGGAAGCTTCTGGGCCCAGGCCAGGGCAGCCAGGCTGCGTGAGCAGGCCAACTCTTTCCATAAAGGAAAGAGCTCAGCCCTGGCTGCCTCATTCAGGCACTCGCATGCTAGCGGCAGCGCTGCTGGAGCAAAGGCTCGCAGCTGCTGGCTGGCGCTGAGAGGCGAGGTGCAGCACGTGCGGTCGTGCAGAGAGGGCGCTGCTGAGGGCAGCGCCATAGCCCAGCCACCATAGCTGGTGGGCTTGGACTACGGTGAAGCGCAGGGGTGGTCTTCGGGTGAAAGAGAGGACAGGTGTGGGTGTAGTCAGGGGATAGGTGAAGGATGATGATTATGATGATGATGTGAGGGCACTTACCCTGTATTGGCGATGGTCTGCATGGGCGACATCTTCAAGTACTTCGGGCTGCCGCTGATGTCAACAGTTGCATTGTCTTTTTGTAGTTTGTAGTAGCTGTGTAGAAGTAGGCTGGGCACTGAGCGCCAAGTGTGAGTGTGAAGGAACTGGACTCTTGTGTTGAGAGGAGAGAGTGTGCTCTCCATGAACATTGGTTTTCAGTGCTACGAACCTCCATTGGTGTATTATTGGTGCAATGCTGCTATCTGGACACGGTGTGACTACTTGACTTTCAATGTGATGGTGTGATCTGGAATTGTCATCTCGCTGTTACTTATTTTCCTTGCACCCTGGAAGACCCATCATCAAAACCGAAGTTAAGACCGGATTCTGACTGCTTCGGCCAAGCGCAGTCCTGGCCTGAAGTCTTTTTCTTTTTGTTTGGGATCCTTGCCTCTTTTTTGACCCGTCTGGTTTTGCCGGGCGACCCCCCCTCTGCCCAACAGGCCCCGGCGTGCCAGGCCGGGCGACGGGCCAACATAGCTTTTTTCTCGATTCGTGTGTGTTATCCCTGCCCAGTGGCATGTTAACCTTGTCTGTGTACCGTTCTAAGTGTAACGGATCACCTGAAGTGCATCATCCTTTTCCAAGTGTAAGGGAGATCGTGACGTACATCATCGTTTTCCTACCGAGACAGTGACTTCATGTCGTTTGCTTCTCTGTGCTTCTCTGTGCCAAACATTATCTGCCATTTTGGCATTTTCTAGTTATATTTGGTACTCCGTTAATGATGACGCTGTCGTTTCGGAAAAAAGAAATGAAGGAATAAAAAGGGATTTGTACTATTTGAATCATAACATTTGCCACTCCTAATAACACATATGATAACAGATATTTCATTTTTGTAGTTGGCTTTTCAAGACCCTAGCTTAAACTCTCCTTTTTTATTTTATTTCCTGAGGGGTTGTAGCGCCTATCCATCTGAGGGGTTGTATCCCCTGAGGGGTAGTAGCGCCTATGCTCACTGAAAACTGTGGTGGTCTCTGCCGATGTTCCAAAGTTGGTGTTTGGGACTGGCCTTGTGGTATGTAGTGAACCTGGTGTTCGAAACCTTTTGGATATCTCTCTGTCACTACCAAGAACTCTGCTGCTGGTTTGATGCTTCATATTTGTGCTGGAGTTGCACTTCAATCGCTGCATCGTCATTGTCAGCTGGGGTACAGGGCGTACCAATGTTGTGACTTTACTGGATGCATTTGAAGTTTGGACCCATTTAAGGCCAGATTCAGGCGAAGAAATCTAGTGACAGTGTGCCCTGACCCACACAAAAACATTCCCCCGTCAACCCCTGTCTGCCCCTGGATGCCACCCCCAAATTGCAGACATGCACACATAAACACACACACAGACAAGTATATATACATATCGTCAAACAGAACTGCCCAGTAAACCGTCGGGAGAGGCACGAGAGGAAAGCAAGAGACGCCATTGCAAGTGGTGGAGGGGACATCAGAAAAATCGTAGTTGGAGGCTACGAAGGAAGCAAATACCCCAAAGAAGGTTATGGTGGTGTCGCAAGCCCGTAAGAAAGGGAAACAGGTGGTGAGAGAAGAAGTGGTGGAAGAAGAAGAGGACAACAAATGAGGGGCTGTGACAAACTGTTTCGTCCGAATTTCACCGACTCGCCAGGACGCTGAACCGTCAACAGTCTGCAGATTCCCCTAACTGATTACACTGTAAGCGATTATCCACCTCTACCCCTGTTGTGGTTAAGCATCAACGACTGCCCGACAACTGATGCCCTGAGGTGGGCACCAACCACTGCCCTCAAGGTACCTGTGATGAAAATCAAAGCAGATTATCACTCACCCACACCAGATGGAAAACTCTACAGACTGTCGGTTCACACCCCATCACAAGCCAGCAAAACACAAAATGAAACAAAGAAACGTCTACCACAGCCAAAAAATACACTCCAGACACACCGCTGACACTAGAGGCACAGCGTACAGACCACATAAACACTCATGATCACACATGTGCACACAAGCACACGCACGCGAGAGCCAAGACCTGGTGGGTTTCAGGGCGCGTTTACACTGGGACCATACTGGATGCAGTTGACACGTGAAGATTCTACTGTCGGTATGCTCTGCCCCTGACACCAACATGCCCCAGCCAACCCCTGTCTGACCCTGGGTCCCATGCTTGCAGACACAGACATGTATATGTATAACACCACAAACACGCATGCATATAAAAACACATGCACACCCATGCCATGACCTGACAGGTCAGCAAAGAACCATGCGCTTCTACTGGTCTTGCCAGGTGCCCCACACTCCCACCCCCTCCTGCTTGAAAGAACAGATTCTGAGGTTTTCTGACCTGTCAAGAACCGTGGGTCATTGGGGTGCTTTGCGTCCATGCTGGCTGGCTAGGACAGAAGAGGTGACCATGGTTGGTCAAGTGGCATAGACTGAAAACCGCCAGTGCTACCTTTCACGCCTGAGCTAGTTTCCTAGAGGTCTGTGGCTGCTATAAATTCCAAGAGGCCCGCAACTGCTGCAGTTTCCGAGAGGCGTGTTGTTTCCATTTGTCCTTTGGATTGACAATCTGAGGACTACAGGTTTTCCTTCTGCCGGAATGTGTTGGTCCGATTTTCCAAGAGGTAGAGGTGGTTTAAACTTTGAACCATCACCACTGGGTCTGAAACATGCGCCCATTTAAGGAGGACACACTTTCTATGTGCCGGTGAAAGCGCAGCAAATGAAGCTTTGACAAAATAGGGTCCGCGGTCATTGTGGTTTATACCTCCAGTAGACCGTAGCAAGGCCCTGCTCAGAGCCAGTTGATGCAGTGCGGCAGTCAGGTTTGGCCTACCAGACGAGAGCACCTGGTGGCCTCCAGTGTGCCCACCCCACCCCTGATGATTGTTCAGGAGTCAAGGGGCAACAGGCAAAATGAAGCATGGAGGGATAAAATTGCTCGGGCGTACAGGTGGTTTAAACTTTAAACCACCACTACCCCTGATTTCCCTGCACCTATGAGGCCCACTGGATCATATCAGGGGGGGCTCACCGTATGGATTTGGTGTGCGGTAAAATAGTTTTGGTGGGCAAAAATAAAGGAATTCTTGAAGTTTGGGACATCCGTTGAAAGTGGTGCGAGGAGTGGAAAAGGCCTCACCCGCCCTAAGTGAAGGCGGGCCTGCCAATATGTGCCAAGGCCTGGGTACAGGACAGTGTGGTCACGCTAGAAGGGCTGCTGGAATCTATATGCGGACCTGAATCTTTGCAGTGGCCCTTTTAGGGCTCACCCCATGTCTCGGCTGGGGCCCTGTACAAACTTGTGCAACCCCAGAGTGAAGGCGGGCCAGAGTATTTATGCGAGGCCTATTTTTGTAAGTTCTGCCTGTGGCGTATCAGACAGTTGCAGAAAGCCAGTTCGTTACAGGGTAACCTGAGCCTATTCCTGGCTCGTTCGGGAAGCAGTAGCTCGAGAGGCAGTTCAGCCTAGGGCACGCACAGTTGAGGCCTTGGGCGTGAGCCACCAGAGGCCGACACATCACAGAACGGCCGCGGGCCCAATGAGAATGCAGCATCTTTGTCACACCCTGGCCAGCAGCTAATGAGTTAGCGGCGAACACTTGTACCCTTGTGGGTCCCGTAACAGCAACTGGGGGCTTGGGCGGAGACACATGGACCGACTGACTGGAAGCTACTGGAAACTCGTCCGGCTAGGCCCAGATCTCGACAAAACGGAGCTCACTTTCATAAAGGAAATTGAGCACGGCAGCGAGAGGGATTCTGGCCGTGTGCTTGCTGGCGGCAGCACTGCTGTTTTGAGCGCTGGAGGCCGCTGGTAGGCCAGGGGCCGGAAGAAGCGCACATGGGCGTAGTGTGGTGTTGGGCGCTGCTGAGGCAGCAGGCGCCAGGCGGCCATAGCCGGCTGCTTGGTGCAGAGAAGGTGACGGTGGTTGTGGTCCTTGGATGTTGGGGGTGCACACTGTGGGAAGCCAAGGGGTGATGTGAGAGGAGAGAGAGACTTGTACCTGGTGTATGCTGGCAGTCTGCATTGACGACGTCGTCACGTATATTGGTCTTCAACATCGAAGTGATTCCTGTTGCATGAACGTAGTGTTATAGGTGCTGAGTAGGATAGGCTGGGCGCTGAGCGCCAATACATTGGATACTATGTTGGTGTGGCAAGAGAGTCTCGACATTGACATTTGAG